TACTATCGTTATTATTATAAGTATTTTACTCAAAGGGCAGAAGTGGTGTAGTGACAAGTGGCGCGCTCACCACGCAAGCGGTCCGGGGATCAAATCCTGGGTCGTGAGTCGCCCGGGCCAACCAAGCCTTCCATCCCTCCGGGGTCGGTTAATTGGTACCAGACTTGTCTGGGAGGATAAAAACACTGACTTGTACATCGGCTGGCCCCCGCAAGTCATTGTATAGGCCACATCGCATTCAAACGCCACTACGAATGTACAAATGGAAGTAGAATGCGTGCCGCATCCCAAAAAGGGATTGATCAACGGCAAATGCTTTATCCTTTTATCCTTTATGCTTACACATTGGCTTATGCTAAAGCCTATGATTGGGCCTAGGCTTAGTCCTAAGCTTGCTTTGAGCAATGAACGGTGTCTCAATTTTAGGTGACCTGACCTGAGGAGGAGAACTGCAACGCAGCCGGGAATTCTCCACATGAATAAAGATTTTTATGAGACTCTATCGAGAAGCTCAAAGCGTTTGACTTAGAGTGCGCCATGCATTTTTTCAACATTGAGTTTACCTAGTGCCAGTTTACAACCATTTGACCTACGCAACGACTTCCATGAGAGCGCTAGGATGCAATTCATTTCTTATTTATCAGCTAGCTAACAAGCTAACTTTACCAATTCGGTGCTTTTCCCTAAATACCGTGTGGAGAGCTAGATCTCTAGACAGGTCCTCTACAAATTAGCAGAGCCCAAGGAAATGGAAGGACTGGATTAGTATGAGAGATTCAGTCCGGGATGTGCCCATGTGAGTTTTATCGGTACCACTTGTCTGCGCTCCCTCTAACTCCTTTTTTTCTGTTTTGTTCGATAGGGTTTGCAGCTAATCGATAAATTAATCGATAAAAATGGTCTAAAGAAAAATATGACATTGATTTTCATCACCACGAATATGAGAGAATATAGTAGAACTAACTGCTAGGATTCCTGAAATCCACCACAACACTTTCATGCCGCTTGATTTTGTCGTTTTTCAAGGTGGGTGAGCTCTCCTTCTGTAGGTAGTTGTCCTGAAAAAAGTGCAAGCTGTGGAGCAGGCCCTTCTGAAGGGTATTCGGATCTGGATAAGTGGCCCACCTTAGCAAGGACAAAAGCCAACAATCCCAGAGCGACTATCGCCATCACCATCGAGAACAACGCTAGGACAAGGTTTAGGGTGATTGCTGATAACAAATCAGGTAGTCGCATAGTCTGCAAAGTTACTGGTATAATTGAGAAAAGGAAAGAGGGCTGGAACGAGACGAAACGATGCGATTACGAGAAAAGCTGAACGTTCACAGAGAGAAACATTTGCAATCATGGCTGGAAAGGATGCGCCGAATCACTTCGCGTCAAGTCATTGAATGGATTTCATAAGAAAATGAGAACGGAGTCGAAAGAAATAGGAAAGGTTTGTCAAATTCCGCTCAAGATAGCCTAGGAATTTGAAAAGCGTTATTGGCCCTGGGCTTACATGAGGGCTCTGGGTTATAATCTATAACATCTGAGCCATTGCTGGATTGACTCTTCATTAACCCTTTTAAGAATGAGCCAAGGCTAATCCTACTTTTCATGCGCATCGTATTGAAGATGAAGTGATTTGATTCTCTGCTATGAATCGTGAGCCATCGAATGCAACTAGTTTGGGGTTTACCCCCTCTCCAGAAAAGCCTGTAGCCAATTAGTGACCACGTTATACAGGGCTGGAGAAGAGGGAGGGCTTTTGTTGTCCGCCTGGTGTAATCGCACCAGGATTTGTCCCTGCAGCCGTTATCTAATTCAACAAACCTTTACACGAAAACCACACATAACAGATCCTGAATATTGCTTGCTCAATTCAACGTCAGGCGACTTATAGAAAGGGTCAATTGATTGAACAGAGTGAATTGGATTGCCTAGAGACATGCCAGGTACGAAAAGGATTCCCTTGGGGCGGAGCATCCATCGGTCAAAAATTTCATTGTCCTTTCTCTTTTTTCCATTTTGATTACTTTCAAACCTATTTGCTCATTACAAAAAATAGTCTTCTTTTCTATCAATTGAAATGTTTTTACAGCAACTAATAATGGTACTCTGCCCTTCTATTCTCTTCGAGCTTGGCACGTCATGGTTGTGTGAAACAAATAAATAAATAAGTAAACAAATAGTTAGACAAGTAAGCATGCAGATAAATAAAGAAGTCTCTACGGCATAAAATCTCGACGTATAGCGTGAAAGTAAATGACACGTCATGATGTTTGAAAGAAATAAATAAATAAGTAAACAAATATTTAGACAAGTAAGCAGGCAGATAAACAGAAACCTTTCTATGGCATAAAATGTCGACGTATAGCGTGAAAGTAAGTGACCACATAAGTTGAAGTCATCCGAAGCGGAATGAATTAAAGCGTGGAAATGCACCGGACATAATAGCGCGATTGATACAAAATAAGAAAAAATGCTGGGCTCAGTAGGGAATGGTCAGCGAGAGCGACGGCTATAAGCTGAGCAGTGCAAAAGTGAAGGAAGAAAGCACATTGCGCTGATCACTGTCGTTTTGCGATGAGCCATGCATTCGCCTTTCACTCGGAATCGTAATTGAGTATTTGAACGAAGGTGCTTCTATCCTTCTGATAAATTTGGCAGTAATTGAACGAGTCCTTAGTGCTGACGGCTTTCTCGTATAGCTGATCGGCAGTAGATTTCAGCTTCGCATCATGTATGTACTAGAGCATCGGGAAGCATTCAGACTCCAATGGAATTTTCATTAAGACATGGAGATATATCGATAGAGTTTCAAACGCTGATTACAAATATGAAAACTAAAACTGCAAAATGAACCTGCCAAGGAAGTTGTGAGCAGTCAAAGTTGGCTGGAAGTAAAGCATTACACTAGAACCGTGCTAGGTTCAGGGTCGCCGCGGAGTAGTGGTAGTGCCCTCGCTCTCCAGCCGAGGTCCATAAGCTCTCTTCCTTTGGAGTGCAATTTCCGAGAGCACTACCACTACTCCACGGCGACTTTGAAAGCCCGGAGGCTAGCACGGTGTAATGCTTTACTTCCAGCCAACTTTGACTGCTCACAACTTCCTTGGCAGGTTCATTTTGCAGTTTTAGTTTCCATATTTGTAATCAGCGTTTGAAGCTCTATCGATATATCTGGGTCTCATTCAAAGTTCCATGGGAAGTTGAATGCCTTTCCTGGTAGGAGAACTTTTTATCACCCGGAATACAACCACTGCAGATGAAGTGGCGTTAGCTAATGCAATTCGAGGTAGTGAAAATACACTGAAGAACGAAGAGAGAATGTACAATAACAGACACAAAACCGATGAATAGGATGAATGAGAATGAGAATGAAATGATCTCACCGAAAGGTGTCAGGTAAAAGTCGTGGAAATTGGTCTCCGCTGAAACTTGGCTTGCAGCGCAACATCTCAGTACATTGAGGATACGCCCCAAATCTAGCTATTACACGAATTTGTAAAGGATCGATGGTTCAAGATGTGTAGTCATACAAAGCTAACGAAAATCTGGTCGATTATCTGGCCATGGTCTCTATTTACCTGACGGAACTTCTACCTCACAACTGCTTCCAGCATTATAAGGTTCGCGATAGCTAAAAAATTAATTCTTGAGGGAACCGATCCATCGACTCTGTGAAACTCTGGGACACAACCCAGGAAGAAGTCTTGTAATTATGGATAGATCCAAATGCAATAAAAGATTTGCAAACTCCAAGGCCCAATATAGCCAAGTTGCTTCAGCATTGGGCAAGGTTAACGTCGCAGCAAGACTGTTGTTTGCGGTTCTTACATCCGTCACAATGCCGTGCTCTCAATATCGTCTCATACTCTCCTCTCCGTGATTACTCTCTTACTGCTCAGCCAAACACGATCGAAAGTTCCAAACCCTTCCCAACTTTCGACAGAGCAGGCTAAGCCTTGCTTTTTTTCCTTTCACTGTAGCCCCAAATTACAGGCAATACTTTCCTATTCGTGTTAACAGCAACCCGATTTGATCCTGGCAACAATCCTTTGAGCAACTTCTCGCAGCATAACGGTATATATACAATATACACAATATGGAAGGTTTTTGAAAGATTATGTTGGTTTTTGGGTAGCTGTGCAGAAGATTATGCTTTCAAGGAGAGATTTAGCCGTCAAGGGGACTGTGAGGCAGCATACCTATACAACTTTTGCCAAAGTACAGATATGAAATGCCCAACCCGGTCAGGAAAAGGAGTTTCGGATTTGACAAAAGGGGTACAGTATCTCACCGCTGCCTCGTGCACCACGAACTGTTTGATTTCAGCTGGTTTCATATGAAAAATGGTTTCGAATAGGTTTTTGATTTATCTTTGTTGAGTGGCTAATAACGTCCCGGATGGAATCGAGACAGACGTCCGGTGCACTTGAGTGGTCAACGAGCGGACACTTCAGAAAAAGACGAGCAAATAGAGACGGTAGCCTGGCTAGGAACTGCATCGAAATAGGAACCTCTTACAATCGAGCTTGCACTGAGTCAGCAAACCAATTGAAAGATGAGGAAAAAGTAGCAGGGCTACTCTTATACATACAAGGGAGTTCAGTACACTGAACACTGAAAAGGGACGTAATGATCCGTGATAATCGATAGGGCTGCAGAATGTTCTGTAGTCCAGAGAATACAGTCATAGCAGCTGCTTCCATAGCACCTGTCTATAACCCAGAAACGTCAAACTGTGCACTTGACCTGCATACCACCCACGTTCGAAGGATTCAGGGCGCCTCTGGAGGTCACTTTAAAGTTCTGACAAAAACCCTAACGATTGTCCTGTGACCTGGTGCATTTCAACCATCAATTATCTAAGCGCATGGATATTTATCCCCAATCCGATCACCGCGTCTTTTTCCACTCCTGGCTAGCCATTTCTTATCGCAGCGATCAACGGAAAGATCAAGAAGAAGGGGGAATGACGTTCTGATGGAGGCGAAGGCTTTGCCTAGTGACCATCAGTTTGATAAGGTTAGCGGACAATGCACTTGGCGTTGATCAACCTATTCACCCCTACCCCTTCCACCGCCCCGCTCAAAACTGTAGCGCTTTTTGGATGATTCTATTCGCCTGAAACTGAAGCATTACTCGAATGTGTTCTTTAGCTTATATGTACTTATATACTTAATATTTAGGAAAAACCACCCCGCAGAGTCGCCATTTTCATCTCTAGCGGACAAGCCTGGTGAAAGTAATCGACCCCGGGGAGATGGAACGCGGGGAGTTAAGCTCTTGGAATGAATCTCGGATCGCCATGGCAAGCACCGTCAACGTCGTCATTTGTCCAGCCCCCCCCCCAACCTCCCTTCCGGTGTCCCGCTAAATTTCGGTAGTTGAAAACGGACGGTATCTGTTAATCCAGGATAATCTTCGAAGTCAATTGTCTCTGGTTTCTGATGAGCACCCATCAATGCTTGAGAGGCTCTTAAGAAAACCATAGAACCTCTTCAGCTCGGCTTGCTCTCTGAAGATTGCTCTGCTTAGGGTCTGGTAGTCTTTAGGGACACTAACAGAGGGCCGAGTCTCGAGAATCAGAAGGTCCCAAGCTGGTTAGTGAAAACCGTTGGCGTCAATGCGCCGCCAATTGCATCGCTGCTCCAGCCAAGCTTGAAATTTTGAGACCCAAAGAAGCTCCACCCGAGATTTCGCATCCAGGTAGCCGGTTTATAGCACAAAGTGATGATCTCGCAAGAGAGTTACAACTTCGCTCTGATCGGCGCTAAAGAAAGCGGCCGGACCCCGGACGCCTGAGCGCTCTCACCTAGACTGAAATGGAACTTTGGGAAGCCGGCTTCAATGTATTGACACAGTTGACTTAAGCGCTGGAAATTTCATGGTCATTTTACCACTCATTGGCAGATTTCCAAAAGATATGATCCCCATAATCTACTGACATCGTATGAAACTATCCTGCTATAACTATGACTGATCTGTTTCAAGGAGTAATCACTTCCTGGTTCTCAGAGGAATAAGGCCTGACACAGATATGTAGCTAAGTCCGTAGAAGAAGTCGCTGGTAGGAATTTGCCAAATCAACATCTATAATAGGATGAAGTAGGAGAGAGGAACGGGGCTGTCGACCGGAACGATATGGAACTAATAATGAGAAGTGGTGGGCACGCAGGAACCTCTCTCATTGCCGCGCTAAACATACAATAGCCGATGAATTCAGATACGATGAACTACGATAACGCGTTCAAGTCGGGTGGAATGGATAGAATGCTTGATGGATCAAAGTGTGACTTCGGGTTAGATCCTCGAAAAACCCTTGCGATAACGACTGAAGTGCTACAGCACTCGTTTTAGCTCCTAAAAGATTGAAAGCAGCTTAAAGAGGGTGCTAAGTCAAGGGCTGGGATCTGGCAAAAACCAGGAGAGCTCAGCAACGGGGGGGGGGGGATGAAAGAAAGTGTGAAGTGGCGAGGTGGATTCAGTGTTTGTGTAGTATGCAGGAGTATATAATAAATTCTAAGTCGCCATGTGCTAAGCGGAGACAAGCGACTTGCCTTTTACCCACCCCAAGTTTTTTTTGAAAAAATAACTTGAAATTAAAAAAACGACAACTTTTCCATTTAGACAATGACAGAACGAATTTAGCTCAGAACTGAACAAAACAAAGAGCTATCGCAAGATGCGGTGGCACTTGCGATGGAATGCATAAAACCGTGCGAAAGTATATTTTTTGTTAAAAACAGGACTTAGTCTCGAGCGAGGGTTCAGATTGCGTGAGTTTCCCAAGAGTTCCTACCGCTCCCAGGTTCAGTCTCAGAGGATGCCCCCTTATATTGTGATAGCGCCCAAAACAATACAATTTTATACCAAACAACACGATTTACGTAGTAGGCGAGTGATCGCGCTATAAAAGGCGCTTCCACAAAGCACGATTTAGATCGCGAGGTGCAGATATGAAATTCATGCAGTGTTCGGTCTGCAATTGAATACAAAGGACTTGAATGGAATCGCCGGAAACACTAAATAGAGGTCC